GAACTCCCCGTTCTCCCCATCCGTCTGCTGAGTCTGCCTGGGCAGGAGCACGTCAGCTCCATGTGCCAGAAGCACTTGATCCATTGTAATATTAAGTTTCATGCTGCAGCCTTCAGTTATGTGACCCGGAATGTTTGACCTGATGTCAGAGGGGGCCTCGGGCTACGCAGATATTTCCCCGGGGCACCCTGCCCTCTTTCTACAGAAGGAATCTGATCCACCAACAGGAAAAGAATAAGAATTTTCAGCTGTCCCATCCCCTGTGAAACAGTCTGTGCTACATGTGTCTAATGTAAGGTGCTCCTTATCGACTTGCTTTCTCCTCTTTTCCTCTCTAGGTAATAATCCTGTGCCAGTAGCCTTGTAAGAAACGTATTTTTCTTTTGCCATAGCATCTTTTACAGCCAACACCCCAAATGGGCTCCTGACTTGCAAGGTGCTAAAAAGCTGACAACCCTGTTATCCACAGAAATCCAGGCTGGCCAAAGGCATGCAGCATTTTGCAGAATCAAACTGCATTTCTGGGATTCAATTCATCCCTCATGAAAATCCAGACACCTCTGGGAGAAGTGACTGTCACCTCAGCATTCCCTTCAGCATCCTGTGAAGAACTACACGTGAAACAGGGAGATTATTCCTGTTACCAAAATTCACAGTAGTTGGGAGTTGATCCCCCCTCCACTATCTGTTATCCTTGTGTTTTCTAACTGACTACAAAAGGCAAAGTGGAGAGCTCCACTAGCACTAGGAGAGGCCACAAACCTTTTATGTAGGAAAATGCCTTTCAAGTTTATTTTCTTACCATCTACTATTTTCAAGCAGGGGATGATTTTTAATGACCAAATGGTCTTGAAAATAAAGAAAGGTATCTGGATATGGGATTATTACTACTATTATTTAAAGAGCAGCATAGAAAATAGATTAGTTTTTTACAGGCTTTAGCAGCTCAGAGGTGGAAAACCCTCTCAGAGTTTTTGCAGATGCCAAAACAGGCCTGGATTCTGCAAAATGGTACCCTTGAATGGGCTTTTGCCCCTAAATGACATAGATTTCACAGATGCTTGGTCTGCCTTCCCAGAGTCCACTTTGGGACACGTCTCGAAGTGGCTGTTGCTGGGCTGTATATGCAGATGTACCAAACATTCACATGTTGCTGATGGAAGAGTAATTTTTTGGCCATTAACAGATGTGAGCGTCAGCCAGATGTTTGATCTGGCTCATTTGTCCACATGGCATCTAGAAACTGCTTCATTAGGCCAGAAGCATATGAAAAAAAAGCACAGACACAACACTGAGGATGAACTCGAGATCTCCTCTGCTCTGATTCCAGCTCCAGTTGGGATGCTGTGCTTCACCTGGGGTACCACTTGTAAACTCTCTACATCCGTTACCTCAACTTTTTGAGCAGGAAAACCAGCAGCAACCTTTCCCCCAAAGTCACTTTTTGAAAATTAAGGTTTGAAAAATGTTCTGAAGATTAAATCCTGGTCCAGCACACATCCAAAACCTTCACAGTTGCTTGAAACTGAATGGCATAATGGAGATAAGTACAGCCATGGAGTCATTTGGAAAGTCCAGACAATGACCACCTCAATCAGAGCTGCTTCCTAAGGCAGACATCTAAATAAATGCTAATGAAATAATTTCTACAACACCCCCAACCAATGGGGGCTGCAGTACTTAAAAGTAACAACAGCCGAGAACAGACTGTCCGTTAGAAAACAAAACAGAACATTGAAAAGCCGCAAAAGAAAGCAACAGTTTGTGCATTTCAGAGCTCTGAGAAACACTGTACCTTTGAGCCAGGCTTTTGTTCAAGGGAAGGCTTTTCCCTTTCAGCCCTCCCTTACTTTCACTGCCCGCTTTATCATTCATGCTTTTCGCTTGCCACATACCCAGATGCTACAAAAAAAGGGCAGACTGTGGGCCCAGCTGAAGTGTCCTGACATCAAAAGGCTCCCATTGACTTTAACGGACATTTAACCAACCCTCTATAAATCACTGAAAGTCAGTGATTAAACAGACAGCCCCTTCTGAATAGAGCAGAGACTAACAGAACACCCCTGAAATTTAGCTCCTCTGTTAACTCCAACCCTGCATGCCTGGGGGCACGTCTACGATGCTTTATCTCGTAACCTCCATGCTGAGAGAGCTGCAAAGAGAAGGAGTTTCTCTCCAAGCCAGAGGAGAATTTCTGTAATTGTAGCCCTGTCTGGGTTGTTACATCAGGTCTGCTATATTTTCTTAGAGTGGAGAGCATCCCAAAGCACTGCCAACCATTTGATTCCCAGATCCTGATGTTAGACCAAGTTCTGCATTAGAGAGGGTACCTGGAAGGTAGTGGATGTCTTTAGACAACCCACGGTGAAGGTTCATTTGAGGTCCATGACGCACACTCAGAATCCTGAACCTACTTTGTTAACACCAGTAACTGATTGACCAGCTGGGGCTTTGCCACTGCTGTAGGTGCACTGGTGTGCCCACTCAGGGAGCCCTTCCAGCTCACACAGTCGTTCCAGCACGTGCCTCACTGGTGTACCTCAGGTCCTCACATGGAAATCTGTTGTGTCTGCGTAACAGCTGTGACGCAGTTCATCGACGTGGGAGTGAAACATGACTGAGGTCGTTCCTTCTGTGCATATTTGACCAGGTCATCTGCCCAAGAAGTCACTGCCCTCCCAAAGGCCACCCCTCTAAGCAGGGACAACCATCTCTCACCCGTCTGTTAACACAGTCACCAGTTCCTCCTGCACAAAGCAGCACTGGGCTGACAGGTTTGATGATCTGCAGATGATGCTCAGCCTTGACTCATAAGCCAGATATCTCCTGGAAATTTTATATCCCTGAAAAGGCAAAGTGCTCAGCTCATTAATGGGACACATCTCTATGCCTGACCGCGGGCCACGTCCTGAGTTGCTGCTTTATATACTCACAGATAAAGCATTTTTTTAAAAAAAAGTAAAAATAAAAAAAAAAAAAAGGTGAATCCTGAAAATATATAGTATCTCAAAGATGTTTTTTTGAAGGAAAAAAATCCCCTAAATTACTTCATCAAAATAATAAGGGAAAAGTTTACTGACCCATGTTACAGTGGCTGAGGTTGTGCTTGGTGTACCTGCCCCTCGGCATTTCTGTGCTGCCAGATCATTCCTTTGAGTCTCCTGGCAACTGGGAGAACAAGCAGCAGCCCCAGAGTACTCCTGAAACTACACCAGTGCCAGAATAGCCCTGGGATCAAGGTGGCTCCAATCTCAAATTTTTTGCAAGCTCTGCAACCCCCCCAATCTAACTGGACTTGTCAGCACTGATTTGGCCCTTCAATGGATGACAATAGTTCCTAGTGCTTGCACTACTCTTTTACACTTCCCAAACAGCTTTGGTTTGCAAAGAGCAAAGGGGGAAAGCCAGGCTCTAGCACTAAGGCCCAGGTCTAGGGTGAATCACTGAAGTTCCCATCAAGAAAGAAGAGCCAAAACCTCGGGGAGACTCAGTGAGAACCAGAACTCACATCCAGAGTAAGTTTGCTTGTTTTGAAAGCATTTCTGCAAGCTATAAAATTTTGCAAAATGTCCCACATATGTTTTCTTACCCTTCTCCAAGACCTGAAATTTTGGCATTGGCTTTTAAACATATTATTAGCCCAGCCAGAGTCCTCTGTGAGGTCTAACAGATGCATCACACTTGGCATTTGCCTCAGCAAAAGATACATCCTAAAAGCAGCACCAGCTCTACCCAATAATGAGTTTTATACCTTGGTCAGGCCAGTTCTTTGCCCTGTCCCTCTGAAGAGCCCCACTCTACGCCTCAGACCAGCTTTGGTCTTCCCAGTGGGGACACTGTTGTTGAGTTTCACCACTGGCATTGGCTGCTCCTGTTTCCCTGCTCAGCCACATCTCCTGGTGCTCCCAAGGTCCTTTCCTGCCCTTGCTGTGTCCTGCAGCACATCCAAGTGAACCCAAAACTCTTCTTTCCCATCACGTCCATAGCTCTGGATGGCTGTCCAGCACGGCAGCCAGAGCCAGCCCAGACACTGTGACGGGGATGGGAGAGATTAGGTCAGTATTAGATTTCAGTCTTCCAGACGTTCATATGAAGCAGCTCCTTCCGCTTTAACTACTTTCCTTTCAAATTTTTCAGCCAAGGGCTGTGTCCAGACTGTGACCAATACACTGCTGCACAGACTGAATGCAGTGGCTCAGAAAGAAGCCTCATTCATAGCTGAGGTTCACACACAGAGCAGCACAGCCACATCTTTCGTGTCATCCACAAGTGTAGCCCGCAGCTAGTTTTCTTTTGTACAAGATTTCATGCCTGTGTCTTCAGCCAAAAAGCTGTAGAACAAGTTCACACTGTCATTCCAAGTCCTCTTCATGCTTTCTAAGTAGTCCTGAGTGCCAGAGCCATGAGTTTTCAAGTTGATTCTTTACCTATTTATTCTTTATTTTCTTTTTTTTACAGTATATCCATTTTTAATATTCATTTTACATTTCTTTCTTATTCAGTTTTATTTTGTCTTATCCCACCACATCTGTCTCCTCATCACCCTTTGCAGTGCCTCTCCCAGTTCAGTACTGACTGGAAATTCAGTTATTGTTCTGCTTGCCCATCTCTTCTGCATCACTAACAGAGATGACAAACAAAATTAGGTCTAATATTTTAAAACTAAAACACGAAGAAAACTGACCTCTCAACTCAAATCCCATGATTTGCCTTATTGTCTGAAGTTGCTAAAACAAAAAAGTACTCCAGCAAAACAACTTTTGTTATTCTGCAGGAAAATTCCTAAAGAAACAAGTATTTTCCAGTTGTATTTCTATTTTTCCTTGAAATCGGTGAACTTCTTTAAAAAGGAATGTTTGTGGAGGGGGAAAAAATTTGTAAAAAATTACCTTTTTGGGGTCTAAAAGCCATTTTTCCTGTTGTTAAAAAAGCCAGTAAAGCATTCCTCCAGTAAGTGAGAGGCCATCTTTCTCAGTCAAAGAGGTACAGCGCTTGCCAAAGCAGATTCTTGTCTGAAGTGACACAGGGGACATGAAGGAAACCTGCAAACCAAAAAATCCAGTATGCAGCTCCTGTTCCCAGCCCAGCTTGTGCCAGTGCTGGTGCCACATGCTGTTGATCACCAGCAAGAACCAAGCTCTGTGCGCTTCTGAGGGAAGGGGGACAATAGTTAATGGTTGGACTCGATGAGCTCAGAGGTCTTTCACAACATTAATGATTCTGTGAATGCAGTTGAGACCCCAGAACATCTTTTCTGGTGAAGGATCCAACAGACCCCTTGAGCTGCCAACCATCAGGGTGACCCTTCCAAGGACAGTGAGACCCAACGATGACCCAGCAGAGATGTGCCACCTGCAGTGACTCTGAGCTCCACTCTCTTCCACCAGCCTGAAAATCTTTCACAGAATAACAGAATCGTTTAGGTTGGAAAAGACCTCCAAGATCATTAAGTCCAACCTGTGACCCATCACCACCTTGTCAACCAGACCAGAGCACTGAGTACCACATCCAGTTGTTTCTTGAACACCTCCAGGGATGGGGACTCCACCAGCCCATTCCGGGGCTTGGCAACCCTTTCCATGAAGAAATTCTTCCTGATGTCCAACCTGAACCACCCTTGGTGCAACTCAGGTCAATCCTGACACCTTTGCCTGGGGTGGAGGGGAATGGTCAGAGACTGCACTCACACAGGGCACGAGTTTGTCAGTCATAGCCATCAGTTTACTACTGTTTTGTCTGCCAACCTCTCTGTGCTGCAGAAAGGAAGACACCACATCAGAAAGCTTTTGTTCAGTGAGGCTGAATTCTTCCTGCAGCTGTACACAAGCAGCTTTTTCCCTAAGGATTCAGGTGATAAAGCAAGGAGGGAGAACGTGGTTCAGGCATTGCCAGTGTGGCAACCTCCAAACCTTTCCCTTGCCTATTCAGTGCTGTTTGTTCTACTGGGTAATCAAGGCAAACAATATAGAAATGTGCAGCAGTGATGCCTCCCCAGAGGGCAGCTCTAACTAGCTGGGATTTGGGAATAGTAAATCTTCCTATGAGTATCTGCAACAGCTCCTGTGCTCCACTCAGCTATTCCTAGTGAGCGCCCGCAGGCACAGCTGGCTTCACTCCTCCCCTTCCAAAACTGCAGCTCTGTGGTGTTCAGGAAACACAATACGAGGGACTTCTCTTGCAACTTTTCTCGGTATTTTCCACAGTGGGTGAAAAATGGTCCCAGCTTCTCTGCAAGTCCTTGCAAGCTCAGCCCAGCTCCGGATGACACAGTCTGGTCCCGCAAAAGCACGGCACATCCCTGATTTCAGGAGCACTGCAGAACATCAGATGGGTAATACGTGGTGTTCTTTCCCAGTGCCAAGGGGAAGTGGTTGCACTGTGATTATCTGATGATTGAAAAGAGACACACTTGGAAAGGTTCCTGAGCAGAGTCTTTCTCTTTGTGCAGAGCAGCACAGCTCAAGCATGGGGCAGCACAAGGTGCTGTGCAATCGACCCCAAGGTTTGCGTACCTTTGAGTATTTTTAAATTGGGAGCAGCTGCTGGCAAACTAGCAGGGATGTTTTATAGCTTGCTGACAATGCCAGATTTTGCAGATATTAGAGCCCACACTCAGTGGCATCTCTGGAGTATTCTGTTTTTACAAGCGTTTCCCAACACACCACCAAGAATGCACAAGAAATGCTCACATTTATGCCATCGGGGATCAGGGATTGTTTGTCCCCTTCCACAGTTGGCCCAGACGTGCTCCCTGCACTGCAATCAGCCCATGGGCATGAGCTTGGTGGGGAAGGGCTAGTGTCTCTCCTCACTGGGGATTTTATGGTTGGTTCAGGCCACCAGCAGTGCATCTGTTGTCAGAAGTGGTACTCCCTCACCTGAGAAGTTATTTGTCTCATCAAGGGAGAGTTTGCTTGTTTAGAAAAGGAGATTATAATATTTATTTCCCAGCAGAGATGCAAAGCCTCAATCATTACTTAAGCAACTGAAGGTTTTTATCTGGATGAAGCTAAATAAGTGTAAAATTATAGAGGGGATTAAGACAGATTAAGAGGTGCCTGTTAGTCAGAAATCATTCCTGGTGGGCTGGGAAATTTTCCAAGAGGCTAAACATGACTTACAGCATCACAAAGCAAGTATCTTGTACTACCATATCATTCCTTGTGCTTGGAGTCATCACCTCCAGCAATGCCTTGGAGATCTGCTGCCTGCCCTGCTGTTCATGGGTCCACACCCAATGACAGCCCCAGGAACCACACTCAGCTGTCTCTGGAAGTGAGACCTCCTCAGTCCTTGCACCTGGCTGAAGGGTTTCACTCAAGCAATTGTGGACATGCCTCAGTCCCTGCTCACTATCAGGTCTGGCACCGCCCTGAATGATTGCTTTCAGCAGCTTCATTGCCCACAGGTCCTTATTGTGGATCTACCACCTCCACACCTCACAGGATTGGATTTTTTTAAACAAAAGTTATCATTCTGAAAAAAAAAAAGAAAGCACCACATCCCTTCTCTGTGTTGCTACATCCCCTTAAAGGGATGGTGTGCAAGTGCAGAAGTACATTTCATCAGTACTATTTTTTGTTCTTTAACTCGTTTTAGGAGGTTTGGACAGGGATCTCAGGGCTGTCTGTTCCATTAGGAAAAGACAGTGCAACCTTTTACCCATCACAAAGCCATAATACTATATTTCTTGGACCTCGTATGTCTCAAGGGTGCCAACAAACCAGAAAGTGCAAAGACTGTGCACACTACCAGGGAATAATATTTCTTTAAAATAAAACAATCTCAGCATTTTATTTCCCTTCCCTCAATTTGCTTGAAAATTGTGCAACAGAAAACTATTTCAGACCAGATAACAGACAAGCTGCAGTTTCAAACTGCAAAGCAGCACCGGATTACCTCTGGATTAAATGCTAAAAAGGAGGCCTTGCTTATTTTATGAAAGAATAGGGGAAAATATGATGCTTTAAAATATTTTTGAGGTCCTGGGACTTCTGGTTGTGTAACAACCAAAACTTCTCTTGAGTCATTATACCCTCCTCTTGTTAAGTTCTCATTTGTTTTCACACATATGACATATCAGCTTCCTACATCAGTGGGTAGGAAGATCATACCTGCTTTATAATCCTTTATAATGCTGCTTCTCCTTCCCTCAAATAATTTCTTCCAAAAAAAACCTTTCAGGTAATCAGTCAGCCCACAGACCTAAAGAGAATCGCTGTCTCCTGACAATGACATATTGCCTGTATTTTAGGAATTCTAAAAAAAAATCAGAGAGTATATTTACTGAGCTGATCTGTACCTGGAATCCTCCTCTTGATACTGCAAAGGCACATGGAGCCTGTGCTGAACAGAAACAGACACGAAGTGAGATCCAGAATAAAAGGCAAATTTTTTCCAGTTTTTAGAAGAAACTGAATTATGACACTCAAAGACCACCCCTCCCACCAAAAGCCTCTTTACATAGCTTTGCCCGTGAAAAAGTTGTTTGCCTTCAGGATGAGATTCAGGACCTAGGATGGATGCAGCATTCTCCACATGAAGGAAAGCATCCACAGAGTGTGAGAGCTGCTGATGAGAGAAGTGAAAAGCAGGAGAGATCCCAAAGGCACAAGAGCCTGAACAGCAGCAGCTGTGAATATCTGCCCTCCTCCTCTCCTGGTTTCTGCTGTTCTTGGATAAAAACTTAAGGGATTTTTTTGGGGTCAGTCTTAGAAAGAAACAGGTTAGCACTTGTTTTTCAGGAGGCAGAGATGTTTGCAGCTGAGCAGCTCTGAGTGGTCACAATCCCACACTAGGGCTTGTGATCCCTGTGGATCTCCTGCTCCTCCTCCCCTCAGTTGCTTGGCTCTGCACAGTCCCTGTCCTTGACGGGGTGTTTATCACAGCCTGGCATTTGAGATGTAATTAGTTGCTCCTTCTTCATTCTTAACACTTGCAATGTAAGCCTTGAATCTCATTAATGCAACAGCCAGGTTTCTGTCCAGAATTATGGAGCTGAGAGCAATGGGATGGGCATGAGAATAGGGCACAGCTGGCCAAGCTTTCTCATGCCCTCCCGGAGACTCCTCCTCGCCAGGCCACCTCTCAGAAACACACTGGATGACTGAAATGACTGGAACAACCTGGGAGCTGGACTCTGCCCTGTGGTTGTCCCTTTCTGGGCTATCCAACAGCCACAGTGTGAGTGCCCCTCCCATCCAAAAGCAGGGTAAAGCCAAGTGCTTCCTTGCTCCATGACAACACGATGTGCTGGCAGAGAGACACAGCTCCGGGTGGGCTCCAGACCAGCTTGCAGGTGGGCACTGAACAGGCTTGGGAGCCCTTTCAGCTCCCAACAACTGTGTCCTGAGGCTCTGCTCAGTGCCAGGACAACTCATGACAAGGGTTTATCCAGGACAAACAGGATTTAATGCCAACAGAAACTGAACCCAGCTCAGAAAGGAGAGGTCCCCCTTGTCTGTAACACAACACCCAGCACAGCCAGGGATGTTTTCTCTGTAATGAGATAGTCTGACTAGGGGACTCTGTTAGCAGTAACCAGACACGCCTCCCTCCAGCTTCCCCTTCTCCCTTTCCAATACAAGGAATCCCTTCTCACCTTAAAGGAGCCCAGCAGTGCACAGTCCTATTCTCAGTACCAGCCATTCCCACCCAGAAAGGGCTACTGCTTTCAAGATCTAGAAACATCAGCCCCCTTCTCTTACAGATCCGTAGCTCCCTTTCAACTCCCTAAGGACTCCCCTGATTTTATCCAGAAGAAAACATGAGTTTAAGTAAGTCCTCACAACCAAAATCTGTATTTTTTGACATAACAGAAGAGGTACTAAATTAAAACTCTCCTAGCTGTCGTACAGGTGAATACTCCTCAAGAAACCAGATAATCAGGCCATGTTCCTCATTAAACAACCCACAGTATGAGCACCAATATGTGCTATTAGCTTGTTGCTTCTAAAGGATGCTCCACCCCCCTTCTCTTATCTTGGAAATAGCCTATAACTGTGATTGTAAATTTAAAGAGAAGGCTTAGAAGTGGTGATGTTGACATAGGGGCTGACAGGTTAGTATAGAAATTGGGAAAATAAAAGAAGAGCTTAAAACTACAGCTGTATCTCTCCCACAACTGGAGAGAAGCATCAGGTGAGGTCAGAATGAGCCATCTCATGAGTTTCATTTGATCCTCTTTCTTACCTGTTTGAGTGACTTCTCAGAATTTCTCTGCCTCCTGTATACTTACTTTTTCCCTCTGATAATCTCCTCAGGCTAGTCCAAGATTGTCCATTGAGATGTCCCCTGAAAAAAGCAAATTGACTGACTCTCACTTGTTTTATGCATAAGGGTCATACACAAATATATATTTACAGCATTAACCCTTTTTGCCAAGCACAAAATTCCTTCCAGGATAGGACAGCACATCTACAGATGCTTACCTGTCCTTCAGCTGTGTTAAAATCTGCCATTTGTGCTTCCCAAGCAAACCAGACTATTCTCTGCTGCAGCCCTGAGCTCCTGGTTGTCAATCCTTCTGCAAAACTTAGAGTCACCATTTTACATCAGAGAGAATTAACGTTGATGGCCCAAACCTTTGCAAGTCTTGGAGCAGAGTCATGTTCCCTTAGGTTCTTTTTACTCCCAGGTCAAAAAGGAGTTTGAAGAAAGAAAACTGCCTCATGCTTAAACTTCAGTAAGTCCCAAAACTGTGGAGCAAAGCTCCAGCATCCTCAGAGGTCTCATCCTGATACTGAAAACATGTAAGTGGTTTCACCCATGGAAGTGTTCAAGGCCAGGTTGGACAGGGCTTGGAGCAACCTGGTGTAGTGGAAGGTGTCTCTGCCCATGGCAGGGGGGTGGGATTGGATGATCTTTCAGGTGCCTTCCAACCCAGACCATGCTGTGATTCTAAGAGGCAGGAGGAGACCCCACAGAGCACTGGGGGTATGTCTGGGCACCACAGTTGGCTGCTGCTTCCTCTCTGCCTTGGTGGCACAGGCCAGCACATCCTGTTGTCTGTTGGGACCACAGAAATACTCATCCCACCACACAGCACATCCCAGCTGGATTCCGAAGCCACTTCTCCCACTCTGTGCTGGCTTTGGAAGTTGACAGTGAAATAGAGGAAAAAACAAACTGATGCCACCCAATAAGAGAAAATTAACAATTTCCCCAAGGAGGTGGCTCAGAGGGGACCTGGCATTGTGTAGATAATAGGGAGAAACAAATGGCAAACCATATTTTAGCCCATAACATCCATTTCAAGGCGGACCCAGCATTTACACTGGCTCACATCAACCTCCCTTTGGCACTTGGCAGTAAATAAGAAGCAACTGCAACAGCCCTGCACTCTTTCCAATGCAGAACTGGATCACTATGTACTAGGGGAACTGTGCCACCCATTGCCAGTTAATCCAGCTTCAAGGGCCCTACGAGGAAGAACCCCTATGAAGTAATGAGAACCTTATACTAAACATGAGGCTCTTTCTAAAGGGGCATTCATATTCTGAGGGGAAGCATGAAAACACACATGGGACCACTAGAAGCTGCGTGCTGCCTGCTTGGTACTTTGAGTTCTATTTTCACATTTTTATAATTATCACATAATGCATAATGTGACACAAACCAGGAGACGTCAGCTCCGTGCAGAGCCAAACCGAGCACGGGCAGGCACTGCATGATCCCCACAGGGCCAGCCCAGCCCTGAGCTGCCCCTCCTGGCCCCATCCCAGGAACACCAGCTGTGCCCCCCTGCTCCCTGTGCCACCTTCACAGAGGCAGCACAGCCCTGCCTAGTGCAAAGCTGCTCCTGCCCCCACAACTGCTCTTGTCTACGGAAGATAAACCCCTCAGACTGCTTCCAGTGGGTTTAAATGAGGAGTCAGAGCCTGCAGTGGGTCACAGACTCTCTTGGACGTTCACCAGCCCACAGAGTCAGGTTTCCAAGCAGGGCATGTGTGCTCTGAGCTCTCTGAACTGAGAAAGTCCAAACACAGTTGGCCTTGAGGTGCCCTGTAGGGTCTGCCCAGCACCCTGTCCTGGCAGGACACCCATACCCTGATTTCATGCCTGTCTGCAGGGCACACCAGCCTTGTGAAATTCTCATGATGACAATTCTCCTTCTTGGAGACATGGGATAAGGGAAGCTTATCACAAAAGCACTTTACAAAAGTTTTCAATCAGACCTTCTGGCTCCCTCTCCTGAGGGACCCTCCCCAGGGCACCTATCTGGCTCTACATTCCCCCTTTCAGGGATCTTCTCCAGTCCCTTTCCCCACAGTCCCTCCTCCCAGTTCAGACACCATCCTTGGCAACCCCTTTGCTCTGCTGCAAGACAGGCCAGCAGCTTTCTCTGTGATCAGTGGTTTCCTTGAGATAGGGCAGATAACATGGGACTGGGACTTCATAAGTCCTGGGAGGTTTTCTGTGGGCTCATGACAGAGGATGAAGGCTCCCACTCCATGGAGTACCTGTGGTCTGCTCCTCCCCAGTCTGATGAGGCACCTGCTTTGGCTCCAGCATCCTGACACAGGCACATTTCTATCATCAGGTTCACTCATACAACAGTTTTTTCTTATTAAAGGACACACATATGTTTTTCATCCTCACACTTGATCACAAGAAGTCAACCTTTGCTCAGCTGTCAGAACCAGTTGGCTGAACCTCCCTCTGTAAAAGCAAAGCCTGCAGCAGTGTGCACTCGAGTTTAGCCATGACTGGCACAAGGCAGTAACACTGAGAGATTTTTGCAGCAGATCCAGTTGAGAAGAACAGAAATTATCTCAAAGAGAGCTTTCCCTGCATGAAAATATGTTGGTTTCTTCAGAATCAAAAGGTTTTTTTCTCCCTCCTCGCCCTGACCTGCAAGAGACTTTCCCAAGCCACACAAATTTAGAGTGCCCTAGTGCTGTGGAGCAAGGATGAACAAGAGGGAGGAATAAAACATCTTTTTTTCCTCCTGTAGGAAAGTATTATCCAAGCAACCAGCTGCACTGGTGGTGGTGGGGGGGCTCTTCCAGAAGCACTGGCATGCTCTGCTGTTCCTAGACTAAATAGATTGTTGGGCTTCTCCATCCAATACTGCTTTACAGGAAAGCTGTACAAAGTAAATATATTCCTTCCAAGGCCAACCCCCTTCTTGTGCCAACTCCCAGCTCAGAGCAGATGTCCATGGTTGGGCTGCAAAGCCCCCGAGGAGCAGGGGGTCTGCACTGCCCAGGTGTCCCCAGCTGTGCGGGCTGGGGGCAGCTGGAGGGGGCTGGTGGTGTCAGACAGCAGCACAGCAATGAACTGAGAACCACCAGAGGAAATTCCTCGCCGAGGATATGGGAGTACAACCCCCACACAGTCAGGGGCATTTCAGTCACTTAGTGTGAAGCCAAAGAGTTGCTGCGTAACCTTGGGTAAGTGGTTTAAATTTTGAAGAGGCAGAGAGGAGCAGCACAGCAGGTCTCTGAAGAAAACTGCTCTGTTACCGGCTCTGGGAGGGAGTGTCCTTTGTCAGACAGAGGAAGAGAATGTGATGTATTGTTAGAGATACGTTAGAGAAAGAAATGGGATTCAGCACTGCTAAGGTTGTTTCTAAGCCTGACGCAGGAAAAAACTCAGGACTGAGTAAGGACCCCTCCTCCTGCACCATGGGTTCCTAAGCTTCACTTCGGAACTCTTCTTGCACTTCCTCCACCACAGTGACCATGAAGTGCTGGGCACTGTCCAGAGATGCAGCATAAACACCAAAGCACCAGTCTCTCACTTCAGGGAACCCAAGATTTCATGTGATGCCAAGTGGGGAATGAATTATAAGAAATCCATCATGATGCAGATAAAGCAAGAGGATAGTTCTTTCACAGGGCACATACAAAGGGAAAAAAAAGCCAGTAGTCTGTACACCCATCTCTTTTTTGCTGCTTTAAAGAAACTTGCACCGTCAGGCAAAATTGGAGCTTTAACCCCACAGCAATGAAATTGCCTTTAAAAAAAAATTCTGCCTGCATCTGAACTCTGCCTGCATCTGGTGGCTGAGAACACTGCCAAGACCTTAACCCTCTGATATTAACAGAAAGAGATATTGATGAGCGTCCCTCCGGCGAAGGAAACCAAATGGTGTTTTTAACTTTAGTGGATTCTTTACAGATTTTCAATTCCTTAGCAAGGCTGTTGCTCCAGACTGGGATGTAATTGAGATGCATTATCCACTCGCTCAAAAACTTTCCCAGGAACACATGTGTGCACACACAGACCGTGCATTCAGCTATAAATACATACTGTACCTGCACAGGCATTAAGCTGCTGTTCATGGGCTGTCTGGAGGTTTCTGCTGCCAGCTCGGCTGCTCAGTCAGTCGGGGCACTCAGCACTCCCAGCTCAACGTGACAAACCCAGCAAACACAGAAACCCAGCTCATCACTGCTGGGTATCTGACCATAGCCACAAAGAGGGTCTTTTAAGGACCGGTTCTCATGAAAGACAAGGATTCTGGGTGTTTTCACCCCAAAAGGGATGTTGAATCTCTTTAGCTCTTCTACAGACCAGGGCAGCAACTTGCTGATAAACCACTCACCCGACCTCTTCATCCTGTGCTGTGTCCTCACTGGAACAAACCACCATCTGTGCCCAGCACGGCGGAAAATCTCCCTCCAAAATCTTCCAACCTCCTTTATTATATTAATCTTGACAAAAAGCCAAATTCCGTCAGAATAGACTGATCCTATTCATATAGCATAGCATCTATTGGGATGAAGAAAGCATGTCCTTGAAGGATTTCAATGGCATAAGGACCTGAAGCCATACCATTGATTTCAACGTAATATTAAAGAACAACTCTAGTCTTTCTTTTAGCCTGGGAGTATGAATGGCTTACATTACAGGTCTTTAGTGAGAGGTAGAGGGAGGTGTAAACCCACCTTTTTAGAGTCCTACATGAAGCTAAGAAAAATCATATCCTCCTCTTATGAAAAACAGAATGAAACACAAGATACGCTATCTCAGAGGGAATGATTCATCAGTGAATCCTGAAGCACTTTAGGAGAGTTAAGCGTGTACACCAACAGCATCCACTCTGTCCACCTGCAGCAGGGAGAATTAATACACAGAAAGGGAAACTGAGGCACAAAAATCTTATGATTAGTGTCCGAAAACAATCCTGTAACCAAACCAGTATGGCAACCTACCCACTCCAAAAACACAGACCTGCCTCACTTCAACTTCACGGCGGATTTCCCTCAACCTTGAGCACGATGGAGCCTGTGGGACACAGCTGAGCAATTCAGACCATATACCCCAGAGGGCAATAATACTTCTAC